CATGTGACAGTAAGATATATGTGTATGATCTACCGCTACAAGCATCACCAGTACACCCGCAGGACCGCGCGCTGCGTTTCCCGAACGCTATAGCTATGGCACCGCGTCCTGGGCGAGCTTGGCGCCGCGCGCGGACGAGGTGTCCCCCGCGGGCATCTTGGGCTTCTTGTAGCGAAAGGCCTTGTGGTACACGTCCTTCGCCTTCTGGTCCCCCTCTTCGAACATGACGGTCGTGTCGCGCTGGATCGACACGAGGATCTCGCGCGGTGGCGCCGACGCCGACCCCTTCCGACCCTCTCCGTCGCCCTGCGGTGCAGCAACGATCAGTACCACATTCAGCTTCAGGTTCACGCTCACGAGAGATCGAGGGTGGCCACGGACAGCGGGCGCCGGGGGCGGGGGCGGCGGTATATGATGGTGTATGATACTTGGAGGACGGACGTACGCTGCGCCGGCCGCTTGTGATCTGCGGCATCGAGTCCATGGTGTAGTGCCGCTCCGAGGTGTTCCGCAGCCCTTCACGCGCGTTGAGCATCGTTAGCAGAGAGGCGCTGTACACTGTATGAACGCGCCAAATCGCGTGCAGGATGGACCGGCGGTCAGCTGGCATGCTTCGCGGGACGAGGCGCGACGGAGATACCGTGACGCACTGCGCGAGCCGATGTAGTAGAACATCACGTAGAGCGCCGTGGTGGGGAGAACGATGACCTGGTTGGAGCGGCGTCAGAACTAAGGATAGACACACACGGCCATGAATGCATGAACGGCGACACGCACCGTGATGAGTGACAAGATCGAGCAGATGCTGTCGAGCACGTCGGCGTCAGCGTCCATGTCGCAGAGAGGATCTCCGCGTGGCACATGGTTCGGGGACGTACCTAGTTAGGCACCCAGTCTCGATGGTGTAGAACATCTTCATGGGTGCCAGTCAGCATGCGGCTCCGGTGAAAGGGGTGGCGAACGTACCAATTTCCTGATCATGCGGTTCGACCTGTAGACGTTTGCCCACACGTCAGAATCCCTGCTATGATGCGCCGATTGACGATATGTAGTGGACTCACCCGGCGTTCGCTGTTCGGGAACTGGCGAGGAGGACAACAAGGGCGCTGCAGAGTAACACATCCGTCGCTGCCGTTGTTGAGCTTATCGCGATATCGTATGCCTATCAGAGCAAAGCGACGTTAAGCAAAGTACCGTCGCGAATGATCCGACGATGCGCACGGTAAGTGTCGCCAGGTCGTCGATAGACTTGGCTTGCACGCTCTTGATGAATAGCACTGCAAAGGGAATCAGAGATAAGAGATATACTGGGTTCCGGAGGAAAGAACATACGCAAGCCAAGAGCTACGAGGCGTACGGGGACGTCAGAGGTCAGACCAATCGTTGTGCGTGTCAAAGGGTTATGTACGCACACAGATCCCCAAGCACAAAAAAACTCTGTATACCATATTTAGTACGGTACGACCTGTAGTTTTGCGCGAATGTACGCACGAGAGTTCCAACGAGAAGCTTATTCTTGCTCACTATGATTTAGTTAGCCTTCCGCTGGCGGAGGAGCGAACCTAAGGTTACGAACGTGTCCATACCCGGAACGCATAGAATCTGCGCTGTTGTGAGCCTGAGAGACAAGATGATTGGTAGAGCCTTACGACTGAATGAGGGCGATGGTTGCCGCCTGATACGATTCGACAAGATGAGCATAACAGTGCGGTTCGACGAATCAACTACACTCACGTTGCAAACGACCTGGGCCTGAGAGAGATCATTGTCAATAGGATCGTGACATGTGCGCTCTCCACTGTTGTCCTTACATTTGATGTCCTGAAAGGATAGAGGAACGCCGGTTGAAGAGACCCAGGGTAGTTTGAAAGTGCCTCTCACCATGGTAACATGCCCGACTGCATGTCTCTCCTGACGAGACTCGACCATGCTGCGGTGCATCAGTATGACGCGGGGACGGGCAGGATAGCTATACGCACTTGCAGCGGAGTAGAACACGAGACTCAGGGTATCAAGACCACAAACTACATAGACCTCCAGATAGATTTAGGGGAGTGTGATACCATTTATACGAGCCTCCCACTCACCATGTACTTCAGAAATCTCCTGTCATTAGGGTAGTGCATGAAATACCACATCGCTTGCGCGCTAGTGACTGGGGCATGCAAATGTGAACATGAACGTTATGGGTCCAGATGAAGCGGCGTACCTCCGTATGTGCTGCATTTCATGGTCACCCAGACCTGCCGTCAGAACTGCGCCCTCCTCCAGCGGCACGCGAATGAACCTCACCTCCCAGTGACTATTAACCCGACTAGGATGACCCCCAGACTAGAGTCGCGTCAGTATGTCATTGTCACGACGGAGCCGCGCTGCTCGCGTGAATACGCGGCGGCAAAAGGAGGTTCACGCACGACGTGTCCAAAGATGAAGAGTCGGACATTGCCGCTAATGACCGCGGCGCAGAGCAACGCGCCCGAGGTCGAGAGTAGGATGGACCAGGGATGGACGACGGCGAAGGGTGGGAGCAGCAGAGGACGGGCGGAGAGCGGGACAACGGGATATATAAGGGTAGGCCCGCCGGATGCGGAATCCCAGAGTGCGTAGAGCCATTCGAGAGCGATCCAAACATCCGCTCCAGAACCAGGAACCCAATTTCGGAGATTGATGGGTTCAGCTGTATCCTAGGAGCTCCCGCGATCTGCGTGCGTTGCTCATGCAGTTGCTCACATACTTACTGTATGCTCAGAAGCTCTCTTCAGAAGACCGGGACCGGTCACATGAAACGGGCAGCATTCGTCCTTCCACCGCAGCAGCTCCTGTGGAAACAGATATCAATGCTCGTTCAATGGAAGACACCTGACAGACGAGCTTCACAGACCAAGGACCTGCCCACTGCTGATTCTCAGTGCGTCTTGGACTACCCAGGATTAGTACCGCACCTTCTAGTCGCTGTGGCCCGCACAACTCCGGGGTTCAGTGAATGCACCCATTGAGATTGCGCCCGTACATTCCACGGAGTCCGGACGTCTACCTAGAGACTGCCGGGAGGTGGACAAGAACGAGCACGAGAGGCGTGGTGATTGGCGTAGAAAAGGTTCCAGGAACACGGTCATTCAATATCGTGTGCAATGAGCGCGGCGCCTATTCGGCGGCTTTATACCATTTTGGGCGCAAGACCCGGCGCCACTCAGAGCGGGCCGTACCGTTGCAGCTAGTCTCCGTAACTAACCAAGATACATACAAAGAAGAGGACCCGGGCAACTCCACCAAAGGTCTGGCGAAAGTTTGCATATTCTGACTGCCTAAAAAGGGAATTATCCTTGTCCAACTTTGCATATTTTACGCCCTCGGGACACCTAAGCGCTCGGCAGACGCCCACCACCATTGTCCTCATTTTGCATAATCCGGGGGACGGTCCGAGCTCGGGAAGGGGCGCTTAGTACCGTGTTATTGTGCTTGTGAACGCGAATACATTCGAGTTTCCTAACCATGGACATGTTCGAGTCTGCAGCAAACCATTCTACTATTCTCCCTTTTCGTTCAGAGATCATGAATCCTCATCCGGACCTCACTCCACTGCGACACATCCGCAACATCGAATTCTGTAGCCAAGATCTTCAACCCCTCCTTCCCGGCAAGAAGCTTAAACTCGCGTCGACACCTCTCAACGCATACGCTGCGGTGCTTCAGCAGGAAGCTGATAGTGATGTCCGCTCTCCGGACTTTTGTTTGTTCTCTTTATGGATCGCAGCTATTGCTAGCGGAGAGCGGCAGGATGGTGGGCACGAAGGAAAACCTGACGCGATGGTATTGAAGGACTTCGCGGCTTTGCGCTGGAGAGTGTTGACGAAGCCCAAGGTCCAGAAGACGTTGACGATGAGAATCCCGGCGAAGGACCAGCTCAAGAAGTAGTGATAGCACCGAAGTGGAGAAAGGAGACGACTGTCGAGCAGCTCTCGTGTAACATACAGTACTAGTACTGTTACACTGTACTAAGCTGTAACCGTCACGATCCCTATCGGGAAGGTTGCGGTCACACGAGAAGGTAACGCTCCGTGAGAGACAGGTGTAACGCTATCTCTGTTCGCAGAACGCTCCGGTACTCGCTACAAACTGGGGCTCTACTTATACGACTACTACGTGGTCCGTGCGTAAGGTACGTGAATGGTCTAGATGGGGTCTCGGGGCAAGGAAAGAGAGGTGGACGCGTGGACAGCTACGGGAGGAGGATATGCATCAGAGACCAGAGGGGCCTCGTGGGAGGGACTTGACACCAGCTGTGTCAAGTCCCTTTTGCGGGTGCTACATAAGCGCCTGTTACATAGTGTGACAAACGTGACAAGCCCTGTCTACTTTTGCATATTCCGGGCCCGAAAGTTTGCATATTTGGGGCCGGGACGGGGGGTCGTCGGTGGACAGACCTTTGGTGGAGTTGCCCGGGTCCTGTCGACGTGACATTGATCGACAGGCGACACTGCTCCTCTTGACCAACGTCCATCGAGCCGGTACAGTGACGGTCCGGGAGCTGAACAAAAAAGACCTCGATTCAAAGTACCACACAGGAAATGGTCTCGCGAGCCTGAGACTCGCCTCTCCCAGGATATCATCCTGTCCACGCGGCATGTGTCAATTGCAACCGTGACTACATGCTCCCTTGAGAGTAAGTACATACTTAGGTAGCTATGGGCAGTGCACCCCCGGCATGGTTCGTATTGATTCCGGTCCGTGAGTTATCTAGACCAAATCAGTATCGTTAATATGAACTTGAATGCGCAACCCATGAATGGTCGCAAAGTTCAATGTACATATACCAGAGCAATCAAGCAATTTCTTAAATTCTTTGCGATGTACGGCTGAGATCGGTCTGAATAGATTCATGTCCAAGTCCGAGGCGTAGCGGTTGCAACTTGCGAACACCTTCGACAGCCTGTCACTTAATAAGTGAGTGCCAACATAAGGTGGTTAGTGTACCGCCCAAACCTCTCGACAAAATATTATCCTTCGAGCCGGGATCGAACCAGCGACATCAGGATGCCCTTGGCAGGATTGTTACCGGTTACAGTCCTGCGCTCTTCCAACTGAGCTATCGAAGGTTGTCAACTCTGACTTCACGTTCGTTATGGGCTGGGCTTGCGCAGAAAACGCTTCTATGTGCCAAACATTGAATCCAGACGTGCTCCTCCGCACGCAAGTTGAGCGCTAGAGCAAGATGAGGCAAATTGGAGCCTTGGGACTGGTTGGAGAGAATGTCCTGCGCTGGTTGAGTCTGGTTGAGTGTTCGAGTGCCGTTGCTCACGCCAGAGGATCTGCAGACGGCGAGTATGGTACGAGGGTGACATATTCTAGTGACTGCCGAGCGCGAGATCGCGGTGACCCCACTCAGTCCTCCATCCCTAATTGGCCACAGCGACCGCAGCTCTCTCCCCAAAAACCCCACCCATGACCGCTCCAGCTTCCCACATCCCCTCCCGCCCTTCCCTCCCTCCCAGCCAGCCCCAGGCCCGCCTGACTATATAGCTTCGCACCTCTCCCTGCAACCACAACCATCCCCGCCGCCGTCGCACCGCTCAAGCCCGTCACGCACACGTTCACCAGCACCATGTCCTCCGTCCTCCGCACCGTCTCAAAGCACACCCGCGCCATCTCCGCCGCCTCGCGCGTCGCAGGGCCCTCCCGCGCCTTCCACTCCCCCTTCGCCGTGCTCTCGTCCTCCCAGTCCCCGCTGACCACCCCGCCCGCGTCCACCTCCTCCGCGGGCGGCATCTACGAGAAGCACATCGAGCACTCGGCCGAGCCCTTCACCTCCGGCTCCGGCCAGCGCACCTACGTCGTCTCCACGCCCGACCCCGCCGACACGCCGTACGCGGTGCCCTCGGGCGCGTTCCCCACCTCCGCCCCGTACCAGACCTACCCGCGCACGGAGAACCCGGTCCCGCACGGCGCGCAGTTCGCGTCGACGAGCACGGGCTTCGCGCACCCCCTCACCTTCAGGGTGCCCCGGAACGACGCCGGCGTGGGCGAGAGCGCGTCCGTCCGCTACCGGGATGCGCCTGGGGAGATGCACGCCCGCGGGGGCAGCTACGGCGGGCAGGGGCTCGCGGACGCCGCGGGCACCCGCAAGGGCCCGGACGGGGAGCTGCCGGACGTGAACGCGTCGCCGATCCACGAGAACGCGGAGAAGTTCTCGAAGCTGGGCGTAGACAACGCCTGGAAGGAGCGCAAGTGAAGCCAGACCGCTGCTGTCGTCAGCACATGACGTGGCCCTTTCCCCATTCGCATATCATCGCCGTCGGTCGTCGTCGTCGTTCGGGGCATTCCAAGTGACGAGAAAAGGACGTTTATAATCGCAGGTTCGCTCTCGCTAGCGTAGTGGTTGCACTGTGTCTGTATATTGCTATGCGGGAAGTGTATGATTATCAGGAGGACGACGTGTCGACGTCATTGCCGTGAGCTCGTCCAGTACCATCAGCATAGGAGCTTCATATCGTTTGCGTAGTGTCTGGTAATGCATAGACTGTAAATATTGTTGCTTTCCATTGAATCTTGTATGCAAGTCCGCAGATCGTCGCTGACTGAAGTCGCGGACGCATGCCACGCAGGTCATCGAGACGCGTCCAGTTCCGAGTCGACCGCGTCAGCTAAGTATAGAGCGCCAGTAACAAGGTAACATTCACACCCACATAGACCGGCCCGCGCTGGCCGCCCCTGGAACGCGGGCCGTCTGCCCAACGTCTGCCAACTCAACGCACATTGCAGGACGCCTGCACAGTGCAGGGGAGGTCCCGGCCGAGTCGCGGACAAAGGCAGGGTCATCCAACGTCGCAAGAGTCCGCGCAGCCAATATGATAATGTAAACTAACTACTGAACATGCGGGCGATGCGTGGGGCGCTCGAGAATAAATCGGAAACCCAATGGAACGATATAAGCGAGCGAAGACAGATCGTAGGAGGACGAGACGAGACGAGACTGGCGGGGATAGAGAGGAACAGAGATAGGCCTAAGGCTATGGCTGTGGGAAACAAGGATGTACCTGTACCTTGCGGTCGCGCGCGGGGACGAGAGCGCCAAGCGTTCGACCCCAGCACCTGCACCTGGTGTGCAGGTTCAGAATCGAGTTAGAACGACACTCTTCCGACAGCGGCCGCCGTGCGATTCTCCTGCGGGGAACCAGCCGACGCGAGTGTGTGGAGGAATGCAAGAATGAGAGAGGCGGAGGAGATGAATATGAACGAGCGGCGGTGTCCTTTCGGCTGGAACCAGAGCGAGCTGAGGGCGCCAGGCGATATACGGAATCCGGATACGGTATGTTCAGAACCGAGACGAGACGAGACGGGGCGAGGCGATACGGGAGAGAGAATGCGATATTACGACGGGCCGCCAACCCGGGTTAGCAATAGCGAATATACACAGGCGAATGTAACGGGTATGCGGGCGGACTGCTGTATGCGCTGAAGCTGTATGTGGAGCGTTGAACATCGCGGGTCGTGAAACGGCCATCAGAAGATATGGATGGATAGGCGGGGATTCTCTTAGATCAGTGAATGTCGAATAGGGGTGGGGTAAGTTATGGTCGTTCGTCGAAGGGTCGTCAGAGGCATCACAGTTAGGAACGCTTGTAAGCCTGCTTGCACGATGAACGTGCGACATGGATTCATTAGCCCAAGCATACACCGACATGAACTGACGTACAAGTTGATCTGCGCAGCCCGTGCGCGCCGAGAGAACAAGGGTTCTTATGCCCGACAGCAGAACGCAGCCCAGAATCCTCCCTTCTTTCGCCCCAAACCGTGCTCGTCCTGCTCTCCGACACGTCCCATCTGGTCCCGGTCGTACATTGTCATTCCCCGTGTCTGGCCATTCAAGCCGTCCTGACGGGTCCCAGCAGTCGTCGTGCCTTCCCGGCTAGCAGTGCCATTCTTGGCCGCGCCTTGACCGTAGAGGAAGGATTCTGAGTTGTTGGGGTGCTGCTGGAAAGTTGAACCATTCGCACCTGTGGTTCCGTTTGGCGGTACCGGTGATTGCCGGCCGTACGCGTTCGTACGGTATCCTCCTGAGCTCCCCGGCGCCGCATATGGGTGCGGAGCCACGAGCCCGCTGTCTCGCTCAGCCCGACTCACGTGTTGCTGGCTCTGACGTCTGCTCTGAGGTGCAAGGGGCTGCACACTGACATGTTCGCGCGAACCGCCTCGCGAGGCGTCGTGTGGACGACGACTGGTGCTCTTCACATGCGCAGGAGTGGGCGCAAGAACAAGCGGCGACGACGGTGATGTGCCGTCCTGCAGAGCGTTGCGAGAAGACCTGTGCGCACGCTCGCGGTCTCGTCGATGCTCGCGGGGGTATGCGGGGATCCACCATGTGCCGAAGCCAAAAGGGCAGAAGTCTAGATGAAGATTCAGCGGGATCACTAGACGGACGCAGTTGACGACATACATGGCCCGCTTCCCAACCCTTCCCGCCATTCAGGAGCATCCAGTCAAAGACACCATCCTCAGGTTCGCCAAGGGTCTTCAACACCTTGCTGAACAGCTCCCGAAGGAAGTCGTAGTCTGGAGTTTCCTCGAAGCCAAGCTTACGAACATAGTTCATGTAGATCGCAAACTCTTCTGTGGGACTATTAAGCGATTACATGCGTCAGCACCCCCTGGAGACTCACCGGGAAAGCCCTCGCAAAGCTCTTCGATAGGCGTGCTCTGCTTCTTCTCGCCGATCTTCTCGTACTTCTGCTTGTTGGTTGCAGCACGAAGACCTTGCCATGGCAAACCGCCACGCAGGAAGTACATGAAGACATGTCCCAAAGATTCGAGATCGTCACGACGTGACTGTTCCCGTCCCAAGTGCGTGTTGATGGACATGTACCGAGCAGTACCAGACAACGACTTCCGCTCACGGTAAGGGATGTGTACCTTCGTCTTGGGATCGCGATAGTGCTTAGCCATACCGAAATCTGGAGCGCGAAGTGATTAGTACGCTGATTCCTATCATTACGTCAAGTAACCGTCATGATGTAGCGAAAACCCGTTAAACGGAGTCCTGTGCGTTGTGCGGACAAAGTCACAAGCAGGGAGAACAGAATGTGAAACACGGCAAGGTTCGTCACGCACCGATGATATGGATGGTATTGGCAGTCTTGGTACCAGGAACACCAATCAAGAAATTGTCGGGCTTGATATCACGGTAGATGAGGGACTTCTCGTGGATGGACTGGACGCGCGTCACCTGCATCACGAACAGTCATCAGCTATGAGGACGCCGCGCGGAGGTGTGTGGGTGTCACTGCCGGCTTCGGCAATGTCGCATACACATGCGAGAGTCGTTGACGTAGGGAAGGGTGTGCTGGCTGTCGCCTACGTCCATCGGTGGCGCTTCACCGTCGGCATGGCGCTAGACGCCAACAGCCGATTGTGAACAGATAGCAAAGCATGAAACTCGACCCCAGCAGCATGCAGGGAGTGCACGGAGGATGCCTCCACACAGCCTCGCTGCTGCTTCCCTGTTGCAGCAAGACATGGTCGAGCGGGTACTCACCATCTGCTTCGCAGCCATGCAGACGGTCTTGATGCTGAACTTGCGACCGCACATGTCGAACAGGTCCTCCAAGTTTGGTCCGAGCAGGTCGATGACGAGAACATTGTGCAGACCCTCTTGGCCAAAGTAGTGGACTTGGGGGACACCGGCTAGAGTTTGACGCTAAATTTTAGTACTAGGGGGACGGCGCCACGCTGTACGCGGAATGCTAGGATGGACGTACCAGTGCCATTCAACGTCCTATACGACCGATACTCGTCGCGCAGCTGTGGTGCCTCAGACTTGCGGGGTTCCTGTTGAGTGACCGGGGTTAATGTTCGACCCAGTTGCGCCCATACGGGGAACTAGATCACGCACGAATTTGATGGCGACCGGTTGGTTGTTCAGCATGTTGGTGCCTACACGAAGTTCGAGCTCAGGATTGACAAGGCATAGGTGGGCGCTGCGAGGACGGTACCTTCGAAGACGACACCGAAAGAACCCTCCCCAATCTTCTTTCCAACCCGGAAGTGATTGCCCACGACGCCATTAGAGGTAGCAGACTGGGAGGAGTGGTGTCCTGAGGAG